GTGCCCGCTCTGGACAGCCCCACGTGGGCTGCGAGCACCTGCAGTGTGGGGCACCGGGCATGGGAAGGGCCACTTCCTCCCCATGCTCAGCTTTTCCCTGGGCTCCTTCCCTGCGTGGAGAAAAGCAGCCCCTCACCCACCCCATGGCTGGCGCCCTGCGCTGCAGGCACTCGCAGCCCATGCAGGGCTGCCTGGAGCAGGCACAGGCAGCCCCAAGCCAGCTGCGAGTGGCTGCAGCGCGGGGCACTGAGCATGGGATGGGGAGGGCCTGCTTTCTCCTCCCCCCCGCACTCAGCAGCACCTTGTAACCCGGCCCCACTGCCAGGCTGGCACTGGCACAGGTTACAAGCTGGTGCTGAGCATGGGGAAAAGTGCCCCTCACTTGCCCCATGGCCAGCGCCCCGCGCTGCAGCCACTCGTAGCCTGCCTGGAGCTGCCTGTGCCTGCTCCAAATAGCCCCATGTGAGCTGCGAGCACCTGTAGCAGGGAGCGCCAGCCATGGGGGAGGTGAGGGGCCACTTTTCCCCACGCTCAGTACCAGCTTCTTCCCTGCTGGTGAGCAGGGGGTTAGGGTTGTGTGCTGCCCCCAACCTGTACCATGGGGCTGGGGGGCACTGGGTGTGAGCAGGCAGGGAGCCAGTGGGGAACATGGGGCCCACACCAGTGTCCCGGGGCCAGTGCTGGCGAGGCCAAGAGCAAGGTGGCAGGAGCTCTATGGAGCTGGGCCAGCTCCCCCCTCCCTGCTGGTGCAGCCGAGCCCAGCTCCACAGACCCCTGCCAGCCTGTGCCCCACTTTGGACCCCACTGGTGCTAGCCCTGGGACATTGGTCCCAAGACGTTGGAATGTTGGTCCCAAGATAGTGACCGGGGGCGGGGCACCTGTCAAGGGGTGGGGCACCTGTCAGGGTGTGGGGCTACCCATGCGGCCCTCAACAGCCTGCCAAAACTGGGTAAGTGGCCCTCCATTCAAAATAATTGCCTGCCCCTGACAGAGAGAGAAGTAGTCTGAAGCTAGGCAGAAAGCGGAGCGGGGTAGCATCTTAAGGCATCTTCATATGTGCTCCAGGGGTGAGGTGGGGTGGCACTTTAATTAGAGTGGCTCTGAGAGTTACTCTAATTAAAGTGACCACAGTGTCCTGTGTATCAGCATCCCTGCACTTCAAAATGGCTGCATGGGCACTTTAACTAAAGCTTGTTCAATAAGCTTGATACACAAGACAAAGCTGCTAATTAGCATGCTCCAGCAGACCCGATAAATCAAGTATGCTTCGACATGCTGCAATTACAGCATGCTGCAGCAGCATCACCACACCTGTATAGGCACCTTAGAGACTACTTGGGCCATGAATGCATTTTGATTAATGAATCAGCTGAGTGTTAAGACCCAAAACCAAAAACCAAAATGCTGCACATACTGAATCAGCCACATATTAAAATCAAAATCTTCAAGCAGAGTCTGTGTGAACAAACCCTTTCTTCTGCCAGCTATCTATCTACTTTGGTTCACACTGCTTATGTGCATGAATATTGGCTCATATGTACACAGCTAGGTTGCTGTGCAACAGCAGGTAGCTGCTGAGCACATCATCTCTCATGGGATCAACCTACAAATAAGACTGAAACTACAAATAAGAGTGAAAAGGCATCAGCTTTTCTGAAAGGTTAACTGTCTTGAAGGAGTACCAGCAATTGGGAAAGTGCCATCAAAGAGAAGCAGTAGCAAAGCTGTTGTCTTGCAATTGTCTCAGCAGAATTTTAAAGTTAAGAGATAAGCTTGAATCCACTTACGTTGGGAACCTCAACGCCAACTGTAAATGCAAGAAATTGAAGAAAAACAGTAAAGTAGAAGAAACACTCCAGTTTTGGTTCACATATACACAACAGCATAATGTATTAATCAACAGCCATATCTTTTGTCAAGAAGGCAATAAGCTTGCCAATGATATTTTGGCATAATGATTTTAAACCCACCGCTGACTGGCTTAGCAGATGGAAGGAAAGATACTGCATCATGCTGAAAAAGTTGAATGGTGAAAAGCAGAATGCTGATGCAGAATGATGTTGGCAGAAAGATGGGTGTTATAGGTTTTGCCTGAACTGCTGCAAGAGTATTCTGCTGATGATATTTTCAGCACAGATGAAGCTAGCCTTTTCTTTCAGTCAGACCCTGGCTTTCAGCATTCTTTCCAGTCTGTTTGGGCTAGAAAGAAGGAGAAAGGCTACATTACACTGCTGGTGACCTGCAATGTATCAGGCAATGAAAGAAGACCACTTCTGGTTAACAGACAGTCCATGATGCTTCCATAGTGTCAAGATTATTCATCAGAACAAATAAAAATGATGAAATACAAGCACAATTTTCATGGAATTGCTAAATGGATGAGAACTTCAACTTACAAGAAAAGTTAAGAAATTGTTTCATCGTTGGATAATTATACAGCACATATGCCAAATGTTGTATTACAGAACATCAATTATTTTTTTTTCCTGCCAGCATGTCCTCATTCATGCAGCCTCTTGACCAAATCATTATCAAAAACATGAAGAACAGATATAAAAAATAAAATCATGTCACAAAACACTCATGGAAATTGACAAAATAAAAAATGTCGCTGTTGCCAACGGAATGACACTTCTGGGTGCTCTTCACATGCCAAGTCATTCTTGGGACTCTCTTAAAGCTGACACCATTCATAATTGCTTCCATAAGGCAGGAAATGCTAACATGATTTACAATATATATGAGGAAGTGGAAATAGTTTTCCACCTGAAGAAATTCTGCTTCAAACCTTCAAGGAATGGGTGGGCATTCACAATGGATTGACTGTTACTCCAAAGGTGAGTGAGCAAGACATCAGACATGAAATCCAAAAGCAACACAAGCTGCAAGAACATCTGAGATGAAAAACAAGAGAAGGAGGAAGCAGTGCAGTAACCTTCCTGTGCAGGATGGTATTTCTTTTTTTGTGGGGAGAGAGTGAGGGGCTTTGGAGCAAAGCAAAAGTACAAAAGAGAACTGCAAAATATTATATACTTTAAAAGAAAGAGTGTTAGATTTCTGAAAACAAAGCATGGTAATAAAGTGTAATACTACAACTATTGTAACTCAGACAACTGTAATTATACTCTAACAACAAATGAAAATCCAACAAAGTATCAAACTTATCCAGAGTTTCTGGATGGAACTCTAAACAGTCTTCTTACTTTGCTCATTTTACTTTGCTATTCCTTACTACAATCACCAGTTAACAGAATCAAGAGCGCTTTGTCCAACATGACTAATAACCAGCCATTATTATACAAGATTTTCAATCGGAAAAAAGCCAGGAAAACTACCAACAGTGAGAACACTGCTAACTGTTGTCTCTCCTAGCCAAGAGTGATTAGAAGGAACTGAGAAGAGTTGTTTGCACTCTGGCCTTTTATGACTTTGGAGGGTAGAGGAGTGGGTTGAGGGGAGCAATATGCAGGCACAGGCTGACAGGAACTGTTAGGCAAAAGGTTCTGATTTCTGCTTCTGGTAGCTGAACAAATCATCTTGCTGACAGATAAACTGACATACAGAAATTTGCAGGGTGATGGCAGTCACTGGAGGCATGCAAATAGCTGGCAGTGGAGTATGTGCTGTTATGGGAAATACAGCATGGGAGTGACTGAGGAGAAACCTACTAGAGACCAGTGGTGATTAAATGACTTCTTTAGATTTCTAAACAGACTTTATAGGTCCCAGATCTTTTTCCTCGGTTCCTCAACTTTTCTTTTTCTTGTTTTGTTTGTTTTGTTTGGTAGATGGAGAAGAAAGGGAAGAGGAAAGAACCTTCCCCTGACCAGTGTGAGGTCTCTCATATTGCATACAACTATGGCTGTGGACAGATACAGCATTTGTAGTGTAACAAGTGCTGCAGCACTCTGAAGCACTAAGAAAATGTAGTGCTACATGCTTGGACAGACGTAACTTCCTGCTGCACCCCATCCCCCTCCACCACAGCACTACAAAAGTTGCCACAAAGGCATGCAACGGCACACTCTCTAGCCAGGAGTTGTGATAGAGGGGTTGCTCAGCCCTGCAGCTTGGCTCCCCTCCTCCACATAGGCCAGAGAGAGGAGCTCATCAGTGAGCATGCTGTAGACTCAAGTCTCCTGAGGGTTGCAATTCTGCTCCCTACCCCTCTACCAGAGCCAGAAGACAGAGACCTACAGGGCTTTATGGTCTCCTGTCCTGATGACATCTGAGTACCTAGGCAGTGTTCGTTAACTGGCTACTCCACTCTGTCTCCCTCCCCCCTTGGATAGAGAAAACAGAGCACTGTGGGATGCTGGGGGACCGAGAGATAACTGGTCCCTCTACTGTTCACTGTCCACATGTAACCTGTAGTGCTAAAGAGAAGCTGCTGTTTCATCCAGCAACATTTTTGTTGCACATCTGACATTTTGTAGCTCTACAGGGCACACATGTATTTGTCTGCCTAGACCTTTTAGTGCTACAGATGTGTTTACAGCATACAAATGTTCCATCTGTCCATATGCTATGTGGCATTCCCTTGCGGTGTTTCTTTCAGAACTGACAAACCAATTTAAAGGGTGGCAGGGTGTCCTCAACTTTACAGGAGGCAACATTCATTCCCAGAGCTCCTTCCTTACAGCACATAGTATGGACCCACCAAAGGGTGTCCCCTTTCATAAATACATTTTTACTAATTTAATACCATCGTGACTATCAGTGCAGTGGCACAAAGAAATCCTTTGCGCTACGATCATGCCCTCCCCATCATGCTACCATGGAGTTTTAAACTCATGTTCAGATTTTAGAGTTTGAAGTATGATCTTCCATATAACAAATCAACATGCAGTTATTATAACTGAATTTAGTTCATGGAGCTGCTTGTCTCAACACACAATGAAGCTCCATATTATTAGTTTATAACGGTATAAAGATGGAGTAATTAAGCCCACAACAACACCCTTGCGGTTCTGTTCTCTCTTTTCCCACCCCTACCCACCTGCTGCTTGAGCTGCTGTACCAAGCGGTCCTTCTCCCGTTTCAGTGCAGCCACTTCATCTTGAGTTTTCTTCTTAGAGGATGAAAGCTCCAGCAGAGCAATATTGGCATCTTTTTCACTGATGGCAGCAAGAAGGGCTTCTTGTCTGGAAAAAATAAGAGCAGATTAATACCTAAGTGTTCTGTACAATTTAGGTCAGTGATTTTCAACCTCTGGTCAGTCTGCAGACCCCCCAGGGGTCCACAATGTCTAAGGTCCACAAAAGATGATTATGATCAATCTAAAGTATGTGAATACACACATTTACAATTCAAAGGGATCTACACCTCCATTTGAGATGTCTGCAAATGAGAAAAGGTTGAAAACCACTGAAGTAGGGGAAATCTCTGTGCATGAGTTGGGTATGCCATTGAAGGCAGAGGATGGGGAGTCTGATGCCAGACAGCTGGATTAAATATAGACACAGATCATCAGGATGGTATCCACTTCTAGAAGACCTACCATATGTCAGACAATGGTGCAAACAGCTTGTAAAATTATGTATTTTATTATCAAGACCATTGTCAGGTGGCATAGAAGAAGAGTGACATATGGAAGTGAATGCACTGAATATGTTCCTGTATGCAGCCTCAAAATTTCTTATCCATCACTGTATTATCTGAGCATCTGGGTTCTTTTGGCTGTTCAAAGAAGATTCCCGTTACCCAAGTTATTCTGAGAACACACACATACATTTTGGAATAAAAACAACCTCTATATTAATCTTGTTAAATTATGTTGTCTATTCATACAGCTCTTTCAAGATAAAGTTGGTTCATGCCAAGTTATATGAGTTCATTTTAATAGGGCAGAGTACTCCTGGAAGCAAATTAGGACAACAGGAAGATTGCAACACTTTTTGTTATCAGGAAAGTGCTGAAGTGGCCTGTGGCAAAAAACACAGTGGTTAACAAGACAAAAAAAAGGGTACCCTCTGGTATCAGGAATGTTCTTACTGTGACTTCCCTGTCAGTACACAGAATAATGATGAGCTTGTCTGTTGTCTGCATGGAGGGACTGAGACAAAGGTGGGTTTGTTCTGTGAGAAAATCACTGATAGTTCTGTAGAAACAGCATGAGCTAAAATACTGATACAGGATGCCAAGGTCCAGGTATACGATAATTAAGTATAGAAATTTAACTTTATCAGATTTTCTTCTCAGGTGAATCTAACTCTCACACAGCCCTCTGAATATTGGGAGCATCTTGTACATACTGGAAGAATGGGAGACACACACTACTATCTAGCTTGAGAAATATGCAAAATGCACATGTATCAAAGATAGGTATATAACATTAAGGCACATTCTTGTTTATCTGGCTTTCTTGCAATCATACTTTTGCCTCTTACTGGGCGCGTCTACATGAGACGTTTACCGAGCAGTTGACTAACTGTGCAGTAAATGTCTCGGCATCTACACGTGCACCTCTGTTAGGGTGCATGAAACTAATACACTATGCAGCAGGGTAGGACTTACAAATACACAACTTACCCTGCTGCAGAGTTTTTTCACGCACTGAGCTGGCTGGCTGGGGCATGAGGGTGCTTCACTGCAGGGACTGCCTGCTAGTTAGCCCTGCACTGAAGCACCCTCATGCCCCAGACAGCCCCTACACAGTACATTGAGCCCAGTCAGAGCAGCCCCAGGCTGGCAGGCTGACCCCCACCCCCTTCTCCCCTGGGCTCCCTTCCAGTCAATGCTGCTGCAGCCTAACTCACTGTGCTGCAGGCCAGGTGTATGCATAAACCGTGTGTCCAGGAGCTTCCTGGGAGCAATAAACTGCAGACCAACAAGCTTATTGCTCTGCAGTTTATTGCTGTGCGTTAATGGAATGTGTAGGCACACCCACTTTGAACTCAAACCTAAGTAGGGTTGGGCCAAATCAATATTTGCAACAGCTTTGAAGGAAAACCCAGATGTTGTCCAACAGGTGTCACACTTCCCACTAAGTCAGTACTGTATCAACTTATCGCAAAGGATTCCAGTTTCTGGATGATATGAAAAAGGGCCTAACCATTTGTGGACATGTTAAAGATAGCATATTCCTTAAGAGCAAAGGTGTCCCAAGCAAAAGTCAATTTATATAATACTGTATTATATCTAAATTCCACTTGAACTTAAAGTTGCAGACAGGGGTCACTAATGACAGAAATTAATTTCCATCACAATCTAAAGTTTGACCTTTCTGCAAAGCTCCCTTTGCTAATCTGTTAATTTCAGTTGTAATGGGTTTAGAGTTGAAGTGTAAACATGACCCTTCCACAGTACAACATGTAACACTTGCATGTGTTTAGGGCTTTCACTACAGAGATATGCTGATATCAATTCTATCATTAAAACATATTTATAACCATTTATGAAAAAATAAGAAAAATAAGGAAAAGAAATACAACATTTGAAATCTAACGTATTGTGCAAAGCTTTCATTTTAACAACATCCCCTTTTCTTTTCACTATAAACAGTTTTCCTAAGGGTACTCATTGTCTGGCAGTTTTTTTAGATGGCATTAAATACGGCAGTAACTTTCTTTTTTGATGAGAAAAAGCAAAAGTTAGCTGAGGTGAGCTGGAGCTGCTGCTATTCTCATGGAAATCCTCTCCTATTTCCACAAACACACACAGAATGGGATGCAAAGGAGGAACAATAATAGAAAATGCAGTTTCTGTCCCTCATGTAGGGATTTTTTCCCCTGGCTGCTTGAGACACACAGGAACAGCACAATATCTTATCAGCTATTCTGAATGTGGCTCATACCAGAATTAGGCATTACTTTTAATCGTCTTTCTAATCAAGGGATCATTGTAACATTATAAAAGAAACAGTTAGATTCTTAATAAACAAAGCAAAAAGAGAAAAGGAAGGCAGGGGGGAGGACAAGGAAGAAGGAGAGGATAACAACAGGAATCCAATTCTCATATTCCAGATGTTATATAGAGAACCTAGCTGGTGGAGATCAGGATGTCACATGCATCCTTTTCTCTGGCTTAATAAAGTCAGAGCGTCTTTCGGAATAAGGATAAGAAAAGTCAATAATGTCATGATGGGTACCAGTGGCCCAGGAAATGATATGAAAGGCAGCCATTATGGTAAACCTTGTATCTTCCAGCCCACACATCTCCAACCTGGCACCATTATTTTTTTACTGAAGTCTCTTTCTTGAGGATGCCAAAAAGGGATTATTGGGTCCTCAACCCACTATTATTTTGTCCATAAAGGAGGCTTAATTTCTGACACACCACTTCTGATCTATTCATGTGCAATTTCATTATCCTTCTTATACCAAACATGATTTCAGCCAGTCCTTTGGTAGGATCAACAGAGGTTTTGTTTAAATTTCTTCCGTTTCCTTGTCTCCCTACGTACTTTTTCCTAAATTTTACACAGAAGTCCAAAAGAGACTTTTATTACCTTGGACAACAAGAAGGATAAAACAGCTGCATGATGTTTCACTGGTATTTTGACTGAGAGAGGAATTGATTCAAAAGAATGAGATTAATAGGAAAAGGCAGATATTTTATTTCAATTCATTTAAATACGCTCATCCAACACAGAGTTTAAAGCTGGGTCTTCAAAAGTAGCAGATTTTCACTACTAAGAAGGCATTCTAAAGTTTTTGTAGCCCTTCAAATCACCTTTAGATTTAAGCTAAAGGCAGCATTAACCTTTTAAGTTTTTAAGTTGCAACAATTTCAGGAAGTAGATTTGCAGTTCAGTCAAACTCATCAAGTGTTTGTGGCAGGAGAGGCCCTGGGGCAGCTGTGATGCCCCCTAGGCTGCCCTAATTCTGTCCACAGTCCCAGTCCTGTATAGAACATTCCTGTTCATCTCACTATCCATTCCTTCATGTTTTTTTGACAGATTGGGAGGCTTCCTCTGGGTCCTGAAGTGCTCTCACTAATGTCAAACCAACCTAACTGACCTCCCATGGCCCTCTGCCCACTAACCAAAACTCCATGGTTCTTCGTGGGTGTCTCTTGAGTCCAGACAGGCCTACCAGAGTGGTGCCTGGCTGGCACTACTCTGAGCCGGTCACTATCCATGGCCTAATGGATCCTAATTAGCCCAATGATCCTAATTAGCCTTAGGGCTCTTCATTGTGGCCTCCAGCCTCCCCCATAGTCATGGCCATGTCCTGCAGGTGTTACTCTTGTAATTTGCCTTCCATATAGGCTTTGGCCCTTGGCCTACAGAATACGCTGGCTGTACAATTCTAGCTTGGCCCACTTGCTTTGGCCTGACCTGTCAGTCTCAGCCTCTCGCCAGCCACAGCCTGCTTGTGTTGCTTTCTTGTGGCTCAGGCTCTGGCCCTCTTGGCCTCTGACCTGCCTGTGCCTCACTCTCAGACTCTGACTCTCTTAACCTCAGCCTGCCTATCTTCCCCTGTCTGGTGCCTCTGCCCCTGGCAAGGGTCAAAGCCTGGCATGCCTCTTAGATATCCCTGTGTAGCCTCCTTATCACCCCTACAGTTACCACCCAGATTTCCGGTATAAACTAAATCTGAAATGCAAGCAACCACTCAAAGCCCCTCTCTGGGCCATCATGCCACTGCTAAGTCACCTCCCCACTCACTGGCTCTCTTAGCTCTGAGAATACCTGAAATGGCCTGCAGGCTTATGTCCCCTGGGCTACTTCCCTTTTAGTCACGTGTTCTCCTGACTGGTCACAGTTGTGTCCCATCAACCTCTAGAGCATCCTATTGCTGTTTCTTTGGCTAAGCTGCAGTAGTGTCCTTGCTGCCTAAACAGGGCTCTGCCCTGTTGTCCTATTGCTAGGCAGTTAGCCATGTCACAGGCACTTTCAGCATATAGGTCTTCCCCTGCCTGGGGACATACCAGGCTCTCTACTACAGTGCTATAGATAAGAGAGAATCTATCTTGATGTCCTCCCAATACACAATGGAAGCTTTTTCTGTACTGGCTCAAACTTCAAGTATTTAGGCTATGCATGATATAGCTGAAGACCACACTTCTAGAATTCATATGCTCCAACTTAAACTACATGGTACAAGTGGTTCAAGGTCTGCAATCTATTGGTGAAAGGTGAGCAAAACTAAAATCAAGGCTGCTGTAGGACACTACAATAATAAATGTCATGAGTTCTCAG